AGAATTCGTACACCCAGGCGTGTTTGCGAAACACAGACGACCTAGCATACCAGCAAAAATATAACAGCCGGCCCTGCTACTGCTTTTAATGCTTTAAAGGGCTCACCCTTGCAGACCAGGAGATTTTACGAGGAAAATTGGGGAAGTTTGCAAGAATCTATTTGACAAAGGAATAAGAAAGATAAGAGAAGCCTATGACAAAGTTACAATGACCAAAAAGAAAGTTTGTCCAAGGCAACAAGTTTGTGCAAGGTTTTATCTAAGGTGCCATGGTACAGGGGCTAAATAGAACTGAACATGGGACGAGAACACAGAAAAGAGAAGTATCACTTTAGGTGTTTATCGCGGCATACTCTTAGGAATCTCTGAGCTGGAGCAGGGGGCGGAAGCCAAAGAATTGGATATGACTGGGGATGGTTAAGTAGATAAATAACTGCTCGTAATTTATTTACCTGGCATAGATAGATGGAAGATCAGATACTTCCATTATTTCGCATCAAATCTAAGGCATATGGTCAGCTCTGTGGGTTTCATTGCGCAAATAACATTCGATTTTTTCCTATGGTCTAAATAAAAAATGTTGTTTGCAGTAGGTCTTCTGAGTAGAATCGTCTCTATTAGCCTCTTTAGTGCAGTCAGAGAAATGGAGGTTGATGATTAGGTTAAGCAATTTATTGCCAGCTGATGTCCGTTCGGTAACCAGAGTTTTCGGTAAAACTTTTCTAAGTCGATTGCCATAAAATGTTTCTTAAATCCTACCGCATAGTTCCCTACTGGGAAAAACTGAAAACTATTTATAGGTGTCTACATACATACCTATGTATTCGCATACAAATACTTTTCCAATGGCGGTATAGGCAAATATTTATCTAATTGTTTTGGACGCCGACTTTCGGTCTGAAACAGTTGCAAATGATTTGCCATTGTGAACAGTGACCCTTATTAAAAGCTGTAGAGACAAAGGCGAGCCCACCCAACTACTGCCATATATATCCATAAGCTTACCTTGCCTGGGGTTTCAAAGCTTTATTCTGTGAATAATACACATCTAGCATAAATAAATAAGTTGTTTAGTAAAAGTGTATGCTAAAAAAATATATTTCGCTCGCAAATAAATAATGATAGATTAAATTGATAGATTAGATAGTGTGTGAAGTAGTTAGAATCATATTTTTGAAGAAAGATTTTTTGACCCCAGAATGAGTAAAAAATTTTGGGAAACTTGAAACACTATTAATAATTTATTCTACAAGGCGTAAACTTTACAGACGCGAAATAAACATTTTTTGTACATGTAAACATTTATGTATATAAATATATATATATGTGTATAAGTACGTAAAATGCCTGACGAGGTCAGTTGAAGCAAAGAACATTTGTACGTACATATGCATGTACTTTGCATCATTTACTTACATATATTCTAACAAAAATTGCGAATTTCAACTGCATAATCAGTTCCACATTTAACCCCATTTTGTGTGTAATTTACAATACAAAATACATGGACAGCCGGAACATACACCAATGAAAATATGAACATACATGTGTCTAATGTGCTGTATGTTTGTCATTTAGAATACACACTACTTAGCAGTATACTCGTACAAATGTATTCCAATCTAAGCACAGCCTCACCAGTTCTAGCACAAGCGAACAGTTTTAAAGTTGTCTTTGCTGAAGGCGTAATTTAACATTTCACTTGAACGAAATTGAGCAAGTGGAGCAGGAAATATTTACGCAGCTGGAGGTGCGTTTACGACAGAAGTACGCAAGCTGAAAAAGGCATAGAGGAGAAATTGGCAAAAGAAAGCCAAAAAAAAATAAAAAAATAAATGCAACCAAAAACATAGCAGGCACCAAAATGCGCATATGTGTTGTATTTGTGAAAAATAAACCCGTGAATCTATCTTTGAATTGCAGCGAAACAAAAATACAGAAATTTGTTCGCCTATTTAAAACTCCAGAGTGGACATGTATGTATTAGTAATAACTAAAGAAACTGGAGCAGATACTCAAGAGCAACGAGCGGACAAAATAAAAAGTTTCTATTTTAACTGGACTAAAGGCCGAATTCACAGTGCACAACTAAACCAGTGTCAACTTAATCGCAAACAATAGTTAAATTGCCTACGCACTGTGAATTCGGCCTTAAATGTTCATGTTGATAGATAACTCATACGCCATGGCATGCGACTATTTTAGGCTGGCTGACTTTTTATCATACTTGAGTGCACTATTACAATACCAGTATTTCAAAGCTCAAAGCCAAAATCAATCAATGTAGGAAGGGGACTAAAATATCTAAAGTTTTAAACTGACTCCTCCAACAGAACTTAACATACTATATTTTGCGAGAAGTTGATTTAATGAAGAATACGGCACATCTAATCGATCGAAAAATGGGAAGAAATTTATGTAAAAGATGAAGAAATGTATGCGCAATATTACAAGTATATATAGGGGTAACAGAAACGGTAACGATACAATTGCAGTCGTATTGAGTAATCTTATCTCATTCCACTGTGGTGCAGTGGTTAACAGTGCATGCTACCGTTCCGCAGGGCCTGGGCTCTAGCGCGGTTCTAACCAACATCAAAAAATAAAAATCAAAAAAATTTTTTCTAAAGCGGTCGCTCCTCGGCAGGAAATGGTAATGCAGTTGCCGTTTGAAGTCGGCGTAAAACACACATCCAATCCTAGCTCGATGGAGTAGCTATGGGAAATAATCTTTCGCTGAATTTTTTCCAAGAAGCCAAAGTTGGCTGCCAATCATATCTAGGAAAATTTGGAGGAAAGAAGAGATGAAAACGAATATATTAAGTTGTGTGAAATTCCTCTAATTATATGCAAATAATTAAAAAAATATAACACTAACAAAATTGAAAAAAAAAACTTTTCTCTCTCAACCTTTAATAAAATTAAATTCAACACGCAATATTTAATTTAAAGAGCAACGAAATTGAACGCAAAATCATTAAAAAGGCTAAATTATGAGTACTTAAAAATTGGCAAACAGCAAAGTGTTGTTTTATTTTCTTTACTCGTTTTGTGCTTTGTCCGAATTTGCAGCAGTGACAAGCGTTGCAGAAGCTGTTTTGCGCCTGCAGGTCCATTGGGGTTACGTGCGCAATACTCGAGTGCACAAAAAAAAAAAAAACAAAACAGCAACCAAAAACAAAGCGGCAATAAAACATAAACCGAAATGGGAAAATTGGCAACAATAGCAATGCAAAACCCGTAATGTAATGTACTTTGTCGTGTATGAAAACGTAAAAAAAAAAGTTTTTATCTTTTTAGGTCAAATTCAGCTAAAATTTGTGTGAATAGCGGAGCGACTATTTCTCGTTGCTGCTGCCAGTCCTCTTTTATTACAACCCTACTACGGCTGGTGATGATGCTGTGTGGTGAAACATATGTACACATAAATTTGTACGCTGTTGTAGTTAACATAGTTGCTGTCCTTTTTTTGTATTTGTAATTGTAATTGTCGTTTTTTTTGTTGTTGGCGCTAGTTTACAATGACCACTTAATTTGTCCTTCAATTATACATATATATGTATGTATGTATGTTTGTTTGAATACTGATGTAGTTCCACAGCATTGCATTTCTAAATACTGTTCCGAATTTGCACTAAAACTCGCTCAAAAAAAAAAAAAAATTTTAGTTGTCTTTCGGCGGGTGTGGCTGGAGCAGCGTCGTCCGCCACTGGTGGCAGCTGGCAGTGAACACAACTCTTTGGAGCATTTTAACGCGAGTCTGTATGTGTGTAATAAACAGTTTGGGCCACGCCACACCACGCCAACAAAAAGTAATTAATAAACTTTGTTTGCATAATTGAACCGCAGCTCTATCCGCGACTGTTGGTTCTACATACTTTGGCTGCTTCTTCTATTGGCCAACCAACCGCTGCTGATGATAGAGACAGCAGCGTAGTTTTTGTTTAGGTGGCTGCTCTTCGAAATTATGAGTGAACAAAGTCAACAAAAGTGAACTCAACTTTAACCGCATTTAAATGACACAAAATTTCAAAACTTTATTGGAAATGAGAAGAAGAGTAAATTTGAGATGAAATTCAAATAAAAGCACCGAAATTATTAAATTTGTGGCACAATTGTGTCTTACTGAAATAGTAAAAAAAAAAGAATATTCTGCTTATCTTTGAAATGTTATTAATTCCAATAAAAAGATTTTAAATAAACAATTTTTATATCATACATATATGTATAAAAATTGATTTATACATTTCTCCCGGTTTTTTTCCATACGACATGCCAGCGATGGACGAAGTTATATTTAATAAATACTTACTTTATATGAAACTGAAATCCTGAAAGCAGAAAGTTTCCCGAAAAAATTCCGATATATAATATGAGGAATCCGAAAAAATAAGGATAACCCCTGAAAAAAAAATTCTGAATAATATCGAAAAGTAAAATGCCAAACATTCTGAAAAAAAATCTGAACAATTTAATATTTAGAAAATCCGTCATCCCTTGTCAAATTTGGTTTGGAGACAAACCGGTTTCGGCGTTGTGCCATCTTCAGTGTCATTTTTCGTTCTGCATAATTTTTGTTGGTTGCTCGTATTTATACTCCTTGTTAACTACCTCTTTCTTTTGTTAGGTACGTCTTTTTAGTTTTGCAGTGTTTGCGGTACTCAATAGGTATTAATAAACAGTGTATTGCTATGAATATTATACCAAAGTACGCACAAATGAAACCGAAATCAAAAACAGCAGCGAGTCAGAAAATTGTTAGGAGAGCCGAGAACAACTACATCTAATGTGAATCAAAAAACTTGCACGCCAAAAAGCAACATACAAATGCGGAGCTATTGGCCGTCCACCTACAGTTAGCGGAGCATCTGCCAATCCAAACTTTGCTGGAAATAATAGAGAAAATAAAAGCCAATAATAAAAAACTCATGAAGAAGAAGTATGAAAGGTTGAACAAGAAATTCGTTAACTTGAGGGCGAAGCAAAGCAACCACAAAATCATGAAAGATGCAGAACAGAAATTCCACTCCCGATTTGTAAACTTGACGGAGGTTTACATCAATGAGCAAGAAGCAGAACTATTAAAAAAAGGCCTCAAACACAACATTGAAAGTTACAACCAAAAGAGGGAACTTGAACAAGCTATCGTGGATACTGAAGTTATTATATCACGGCTTCCAACTGAAGAACAGGAGCACGCCAGACACATATGTCGGCACATAATTGAAAAAGACATAAATGCCAAGAAAACTAGGAAGCAGAAGAACGAAAACCAAACCATAAAAGGGCTCAAAGAAAAGATAAGGGCAAATAATGTTATAACTACAAAAGCAGACAAAGGCAATACCACCGTATTAATTGATAAAAAAGATTACATAGAGAAAACTGAAAGTCTAATAACTGAAATAGGGTGCAATAAATTGGGAAAAGATCCCACTGAAGAATACCAAGCAGCAATAAAGAATACCATAAAGAAAAGCACAACCATAATAAAGGATAATCTACCATATAGACTAACACTTATGAACCCGAGTGTCCCTCCGTTGATTGCCTTGCCGAGGACACACAAACCAGGCACCCCGATGAGACCTATCATTAATTACAAGTCTGCTCCCGGATACAGACTCTCCAAGCACCTAAAGACGCTGCTGGGGGATAGTCTGGATCTACGCAATAAATATACTATTACAAATACAACGGAACTAATCGAGAAGATGAAATCGTTGAAGATCAACGAAAACACTAAATTCGTATCATTCGACATCAAGGACCTTTACCCATCGATACCAACAATAGAAACCATAAAGACCGTACAAGAAATACTGATGGGAAAAATGAAAAGAGAAGCTGTCACGGAAATAATAAACGCGTTGAAGGTCACATTAAAACAAAACTACTTCCGGTTCAACAATAAGATATATAAACTGATTAACGGGTTAGGAATGGGCAATCCGACGTCAGCAATACTCATGGAAGTATTCATGCAAACACTGGAGGAGAAATATATGAAAAACCTATCGACCAACCTAGGAGTAAAATTCTACGCGAGATATGTCGATGATGTAATATGTCTAATAGAGGGAAACAAAGAGAAACAGATACTAGACTATCTCAACAAACAACACCAAAATATAAAATTCACCATGGAAACGGAAGAGGAAAGGAAGATTAACTATCTGGATTTAACAATTAAAATAAACGATACCACGAACAAGATAGAGTTCGAAATATACAGAAAACCAACAGCCACAGACACAATTATACACAATAGCTCAAACCACCCACAGCAACACAAAAATGCAGCATTTAAACAACTAATAACGAGGCTTGAAAGGACCCCTCTAACAGAAGAATGCTACAAGAAGGAACTGGATACAATATATGCCATTGCGGAAAATAACGGATATAGGAGAGGCCTGGTGGAGAAGTTAAGAAAGGACACAAAATCGAAAAAGACTAGCAAAGAGAAAAACAATAAAAAAACTTGGGCAGCTCTAACTTACACAGGAAAGACATCTTACAAACTTGCCAAATTCTTTCATAAGTACGACATTCAGACATCATTTAAAACAAGGAACACAGTCGGAAATATATTGAAAGAGAAAATAAGCGAGGAAGACCCGCTAGATAAACAGGGTGTTTACAAGTTAACCTGTGAGTGCCGACACAGTTACATAGGACAAACAGGGCGAAATATAAGAACAAGGTATCGAGAACACATAAGGGATTATAATAAGAAAAAACGAAAACCAGAGGCTGCAATAGAATCGAACTTCGCGAATCACATGATCAAAAATAAATGCACACCAATGAAGATTGGACAAACAACAGAACTTCTCCATGTACAACATAAAGGACAAAGATTGAATATATTAGAAAATATGGAAATATATAAACAGAAGACCTTCAAAGGACAAATAATAAATGAGCAAATAAATACTGCATCGGACGTACTGTTTGAACCTCTAAAACTACTGTACAAGAAGAAGAATGACAACAAGAAAATATTAAGGACAGATATGGAAGGGAATACACCGACTGCAAAAACAAAGGGGGTAAAAATCACGGACTTCTACTTGCCGTCAAAAACGAGCCAAAACAATTCATCTACCTATTGAGTACCGCAAACACTGCAAAACTAAAAAGACGTACCTAACAAAAGAAAGAGGTAGTTAACAAGGAGTATAAATACGAGCAACCAACAAAAATTATGCAGAACGAAAAATGACACTGAAGATGGCACAACGCCGAAACCGGTTTGTCTCCAAACCAAATTTGACAAGGGATGACGGAAATTCGTTCCATAATACATCATACACCCACCCTGTCGGAAACAACAACAACCAAATAGGAAAAATTTAGAAAATCTACTAAATACCAGGTAGAGTTCCTAGCGAATAGTTAGCAAATCAACACGTTGTCTGCAGTCATATCTAATCAATGGAAGCAAATAATCTTTAAAAAATTATTTTTTATTATTATATGTAAATAACTAAAAGACTAAAAATATAGACGTAGTCCGCCTATTGCTTTTATTTAAATGGTATATAACCTTATTTTGTGTAAACTTGTATTACAGGTGCTATATACGTCGTAATAAAAATTTGAGAAAAAAAATCAAAATAAAAAATACTTTTTTTTTATAAAAAAATTTTTTAAACAAAAAAATTACAAGTCGATTTTTAAAAAATTGGTATCGTTGTAAAGACGATTGAACCCCCTTTTTCTGGTATGCATATTTGTATACTTCGTATATAAAAATTTGGGAAAAAACACTTAAAATCAAAAAAATACATTTTACTATAAATAAAATATTTTAAACAAAAAAAAAATTACGAACCGATTTTTAAGACGATACTAATGTTGTAAAGGATACCAAAAAACTTATACTTTCTTAAATCCAAAAATTTCTCTTTATATACACAAAAAAAAATATTTAATTGAAAACATTTTTTTCCTCTATATAAACTTCAAATTATTTTAAAAGTTAAATAAAACATTACAATGTGTGTTTCAATCAATGCTTTTGATAGGGATTTGTAACCTAAGTACATATAGGAGGGTTGCCATCTGTTTAAAGAATCAAACTCAACTTGAATTAAACCTATGAGGTAACTGAAACATGTATCACGTGGGTGATGTGGATGTCAGACAAAAGAGGTTAAAGGCGTTGTTTCAAATAACTAGAAGAGAACTGCCATCTGTTTGAAAAGTCCAATTTAATTAAAATTTACACAAGTTATATAAAAATTATAAATAATGGGTGTCAATTGAAAGAGTGTTAAGAAGTCTTTAGTTTCAACACTTAAAATACTTTTAAAGAGGTTTGCCACCTTGTGAATGAATTATTAAAAGACACTACATAATTTATCAGTTAATTCAAATATTTGTGACAATGTTAGGCAAAATGCATTTGAGGGGAACTTATTTTAAATATATTTATGAAAAGGGTTGCCACTTGTTTGGAAAGTTGAATTTCGATATTTTATCGGGTGAAATTCGCGTTTTGTTCAAACTCCAAGTTGTTGCCATGGCTACTGGTAATCAATGTGTAAAATCATTTTTTTTCTTCAGTGGTTTTTTGACGAGTTGTAGGAGCAAATTTCAGCCCTTTTTTCTTCGTCACAAGTTTTCTTAAAATTCCTATCTCATGTCACACTTATGATAGAGAATAAAAAATTGTTGACCTATTAGAAGTTTTTCAATGCTTTTTGGTGTATTCAATATGTCAATATTTGAAATCCGGAAAAAAGTGCACTCACTTAATTGCAATTTACTTTGGTTATAGTTGGCCAATCTTAAATTTATTTCTGTACTAGCAAAAGGCTATTTAATTTTCTATCAACTGGATAAGCAAACTGCATTGATTTATTGGTATGTTTGCATAATTTGTAACAAAAGTTCCAAAAAAGTTTTCTTTGAGTACAAACAAGTGAATAGGACAGGGAGAATAAGGCTATTAAACCTCCCCCTTCTAGCGATGGGCCCAATATATTTATATTTTTGGATTAGCAGACGATAAATTTTTGTTCTACCAACTGTCAATTCTATTCGGTGACCTTTCTTACAAGTTTGCAAGGTATCACATAGATAATATTCTACACTTTCGGCGTAAATCATTCGAGGAGTGGCTTGTAGTAATCAATTTTACATCTCGATTTAGTAGTCGCGACAGTCAGAAGAGAGAGCTAGATCATCCTTTGTCAAATTAAGATCAGACGAAAATACGAATACAGAAACATACTACAGATCCAAATCAGATTCACTGCCGTAAAAAGTTTCTATGATTTTATGAGCACAGAAAAATTATTGGTAATTTTGTGATAAAGAGCTAGAAGTCTAAGCATTTTAACCAACAATTTTTGGTCGCTTTGTTATTATAATTCTCTCCTTTATGTTAAGCACAGCCTAGTCAAGTTTACGCACTTATAGCTTCCAGAGAAGAAAGTTGTATTTACATTTCTGTTGAGGTGTACCCCACCGAATTGCTTTAACAATTTGTAAATATTTACAGAAACTCAACAAAAGTTGTGTTACATTAAATATTTAATAACATTTTCGAAATTCGTTTTTATTTTTCTTTTTTAATACTTGAAAAGGATATAAAAGCAACTTAAAATTCATCTAGCAAAGTCACAGGCTATATACTCCCGCCTTTTGTCTAGTTGGTCTTCAATGCTGAAAGTGGTTGACGATGTGCTTCGCATCCGAATTGACACAATAAAGTTAGGTTGAATAAAACGCCCATACACTGTAACAATCTTACGCACGCACAATCTTTAAAGCCAGTATGGAGGAGTGTGTGTTTTAGGGTGGTCCTAAAAATATTAACATCTAAATGTTGTATGGAGGTGTTCCATTCTATTTTTTTACGTACAAAATAACGACAGCCGCGGACATTACAAAATTTTTAACAAATTTTTAAGCGTCGCTATATCGAAGAACTTCTGATTTGAAATTTTACATTTTATTGAAACGTATGCATATAAATTCATACACTCGCTGAGTTTTAGCTGGACATAGTTAAAATTTTGTCAGATTTTTGCGATAAAAAAAAATCAATTTCCACACATTAATTTTTTTGTTTGAATTTTATAATTTTCATGTATGACTTAATTTTTTATGTAGAACAAAATAAAAGCGCATACTATGACGTTGTCTTTTTTAGGACCACCCTAACATATATGTATGCACTCATATTTAAGTTGAAATAACATGTACATATGTAAGCCAGAAGATGCGTGCAACTTGGTTTGGGTAACTTGGCACAGCTTTGTCGATAGTAAATAAATATACTACGTATTTACTCACGAATGTATGTACCTATATGTATGTAAGTAGATATGTATGTATAAAAACGAACATAGCTTGTTTAGTTAGTATACCGACCTACATAGTTACATGTGGCATATATTATGGTATATATGTATATGTATGTAAATTTGTATATGCAGCGTAAATAGTTATAAAACGCATTTGTTATTGGGATGTTTACTTTCTGTACGCTGCCTGTTCACTATATAAGTTGTACTGACACGTGCCCGTTAAAGTGCAACAACAACAGAAAATATTGTTATACCGTTTAAAATAACTTGAGAAAATTTTTAAGAGGTTTTAATAAATCCCCTAAAAATTTTTCAAAAAAGTAACCCGCCAAGCAGCCATCAAGGCTCTTGGCTCTCTGATGGTTCGTTCGAGAACGGTGAAAGATTGCTTTACCACCCCTATCTACGACATTGGATTACTATTCTATTAAGCTTATTTGGGTTCCAGGTCACACTGAAATCGCTGGAAATTGAATGACCGATGAGCTGGCAAAACATGGAACCCTCGAGGAACTGCTGCCGGGCAGTGCTGGAATGGGTGCTACCCTGACAGCATGCGGTCTACTGCTGGGTGAAGACTTTAGAATGCTAGGCGACAAAATCCTGCTGGCCACGTGTTGGGCAGGGGCGGTCCAGGGAGCTCTTGGGTCTAAGCAAGGTCAACCTCTCGCTACTGGTGGGAGTTTTAACTGATCATTCCGAAGTAAGTATGCGGTAAGGCTCAACATCATCGATGACCCCTGATGATGATACCAGCTGCATGGAGGACGATAAGGTGGAATCATCTCAACACCTGCTGGTCTGGTGTCCTGCTTTTGTTAACCTAGGGTTTAAGCACCTTGTGTCGCACTTTTTCCACACTTTGTATGAACTTTCGGAAATTAAGATCAGTATTTTCAGAAGCTTCGTGGTGAGCACAAAGCGTCTTTCTTATAACAAGCCGTTGGTGTCAACGCTCTGTGCGTTCCCCCTCCCTCTTCGCCTTTGTCATCCTCTTTCTTCCTGCTTTACTATGTTTCTTTTTCCTTGCCTTCATTAAGGGCATCACAATGGACAACTTTATCGTTGGCGAAGTGTGCATTCACTCACAGAGGCGGCAATC